AGAGAGAGAGAGAGAGAGAGAGAGAGAGAGAGAGAGAGACAGAGAGACAGAGAGAGAGAGAGAGAGAGAGAGAGAGAGAGAGAGAGAGAGAACGAGAAGAGGGGACAATGAAAGAAACAAGAAGTTCCACATCCTAATCGACCCCGCTCCTTGGCTCACCCTAATCGACCCTACCTCGAAGTCCCGTACGCCTCCTCTTTGCGACCCCCTAGACTTTCGGGTGGACGGGCGTGGATGGTGGAGGAGGAAGAAGGGTTGGGGGTGGTCGGCTATGGTGGACGGGTGTGGGTGATGGAGGAGGAAGGAGGGTTGAGGGTGGTCGGCTATGGTGGATGGGTGTAGGTGGTGGAGGAGAAGGAAGTGTCGAAGGTGGTCGGCTATGGAGGACGGGTGTGGGTGATGGAGGAGGAAGAAGGGTTGGGATGGTTGGCTATGGTGGACGGGTGTGGGTGGTGGAGGAGGAAGAAGGGTTGAGGGTGGTCGTCTATGGTGGATGGGTGTGGGTGATGGAGGAGAAGGAATGGTTGAGGGTGGTCGGCTATGGTGGATGGGTGTGGGTGATGGACGAGGAAGAAGGGTTGGGGGTGGTCGGCTATGGTGGAAGGGTGTGGGTGATGGAGGAGGGAGAAGGGTTGAGGGTGGCCGGCTATGGTGGATGGGTGTGGGTGATGGAGGAGGAAAAAGGGTTGGGGGTGGCCGGCTATGGTGGAAGGGTGTGGGTGATGGAGGAGGAAGAAGAGTTGGGAGCGGTCGGCTATGGTGGACGGGTGTGGGTGATGGAGGAGGAAGAAGAGTTGGGAGTGATCGGCTATGGTGGGCGGGTGTGGGTGATGGTAGAGGAAGAAGGGTCGGGGGTGGCCGGGTATGGTGGACGGGTGGGGGTGATGGAGGCAGAAGAAGAGTCGGGGGTGGCCGGCTATGGTGGATGGAGGAGGAAGAAGGGTTGGAGATGGTCGGCTATGGTGGACGGGTGTGGGTGATGGAGGAGGAAGAAGGGTTGGGGGTGGCCGGCTATGGTGGACGGGTGTGGGTGATGGAGGAGGAAGAAGAGTCGGGGGTGGCCGGCTATGGCGGACGGGTGTGGGTGATGGAGGAGGAAGAAGGGTTGGAGATGGTCGGCTATGGTGGACGGGTGTGGGTGATGGAGGAGGAAGAAGGGTTGAGGGTGGTCGGCTATGGTGGACGGGTGCGGGTGATGGAGGAGGAAGAAGGGAACTTGGGGTGAAAGAATAGCGGTGGAGATGAAAGGAGGATAGGCGTGAGACGACCCTTAGCCCGTGTCGGCCCCCCCTTAATCGACCGCCCGGATTACCGCCGGCCACGATCCTAAGTCCCGGACCCAAGCACATCCTCTATAGACCTCCTGAACGGCACCGGTCACAGCGAACAGTAGGGAGGGAGTGGGCTGGACTACCGGGACTGCAGCACACACACATACATACTTTACAAGTCACCGGTTGCAGCAAACAGCAGAAGGGGGGGTTGGACTGAACTATCCGGGGCTGCAACACACACATCCACATACTTCACAAGTCACCGGTTGCAGCAAGGGGTGAGGATGGACTGAACAGGCTATCGGGGACTGCAACACACACACATACATATACCGCATGCCACCGGTTACAGCAAAGGGTGAGGGTGGACTCAACAGGTTACCGGGGACTGCAACACACACACATACATATACTGCATGCCACCGGTTACAGCAAAGGGTGAGGGTGGACTGAACAGGTTACCGGGGACTGCAACACACACACATACTCATAACTACCGCCAGTTGACAAGCTAGGAAGCATCCTTACTAGGGGAAAGCCTACCGTAGTATCCCGAAATGAATTGCAACACATACTTGCGTCAAGCATAGCCAAAAGATAAGTTTGAAGCAATCAATCAAAGGAAAGTTCCCCGAAGTATCTCGGAGAGAATCGCAACACATACATGTGTCAAGAACAG